CAGCATAGTAAACCATATGATTGTCAGATTCACAGTGGCCAATATCTGTCCATTTCAGTTCAGTCATGCCTAGAATATTGATCTTTATGCATTCCATTTCATTTTTTACAACTTCCAATTTCCCTAGATTCATATTTCATGAATTCTGTGTTCTAATTGTAAATGGATATTTGCAGTTATTTCTCTTCATTTTGAGTTTTTTTCCCCCATTAGCAAATGAAGGTCCACAAAGCTTTACTGCATTCACATCATCATGTTTAACTCTGTTTTAGGGAGACAGCTTTCCCATACTCATATTTTGAGTGTCTTCCAACTTGAGAGGCTCATCTTCCTGTACTATATCTGACAACATTCTGCTGCTATTTTAAGATTTTCAGAATCATTCATCCTTCCTAGTCTGTCTAGAAGCTCAGCTGAAACTTGTCCACCATGGATGTCCCTGCTGGTATTTAAAATACTGGTGGCATAGCTTCCAGCACTACAGCACCATGCAAGCCACCACAGTATGAATATCTCGAACTGTGGGTTTTTATAAATTAGGAAAGCCTGATAATTCCTACAGTTTTTCTAAGCCTACGTGAGATATCCATAAATGACCTTGAACTTTTTCGCATTGATTTAAAACTAGCAGTTAAGTTTAAATACTTTCCTTGTTATAGTTTATAGCTTTTCACTAATAACTATAATTTAATACAGTGTGCTTTTCTTTAAGGCCTGGGAGGATCGTTTGATTCGCATACAAGATACAATTGATGAATGGTTGAAAGTGCAAGCTCAGTGGCTGTACTTAGAGCCCATCTTTTGTTCCGAGGACATTATGCAACAGATGCCAGAGGAAGGGCGTCAGTTTCAGACAGTAGATAGACACTGGAGGGATATCATGAAGTTTTGTGCGAAAGATCCAAAGGTGCAATGTTATACTTCCTTTCTTAAAGTAGACCAGCCTTTATTTTGTGTTTTTACAAAAGTAAAATCTGACCATTGTATACAAATTGGATAATTCAGTAAGTACATATTTTTTAAATGACATAAAAATAATATTTTACTTCAAATGTGCATTGTAGAATTTTACTTCTTTGTACCGCTAATCCCAAGGTTGGCAGTTCTAATCCATTAGTCACTCCTCGGAAACCCAAAAGTGAGGATGGGAGTTAAAACGTGGGAGAGAGTGGGTGGTCTACCTGACATTTCTTTCAGCATGCCTGAGTGGTGTGAGAAAAGTATCCGCTGTTCCCTCAGGTGATTTCAATTCCTGTGTGCATCTCCCGATGAACATAGCACCTTGTTGGTGTGACGCTAGTGTTTAAAGAGAGACTATGTACTTTTCATATACACAGTACACATTGTAGATATAGCTGACTTTTAAAATATAGCATTTAACTGAAGAAATAGCAGTTTGTTCCAGTGCAAGATGACAAACTATGCTAGACTTATTGAGAGTCAATAGGACCCAGAAATTTATGAAAATTCTAAGAGTTTTGTCCTTCATCCTGACATTAGAAATGGTGTCTTGTTGGCATATGTAGTGAATTAAGTGTTGGGCTGTTAAATGCAAGATGAGCAGTTTGAACCCACCAGCCACTTCTTGAGAGAAAGATTGGCTTCAATAAAGATTTGTTGTTGTTGTTGTGTGCCGTGGAGTCGATTCCGACTCATAGTGACCCTGTACAGGGTTTCCAACGCAGTAAATCTTTATAGGAGTAGAAAGCTTCATCTTTCTCCCACGGAACATCTGGTAGTTTCGAACTGCTGACCATGAGATTAGCAGCCCAATTTGTAACCACTACACTACAGCATAGAAAATCCTAGGAAGCAGTTCTGCTTTGGCCCATTGGGTAGCTATGAGGCAGAATATATTCAATGGCAGTATTTTGTTTCTTCATTTATAACACATGATTTCCTGTAGATTGATCATTTTTTCCTGTAAAAGGCCAGATAATAAATAAAGATTTTCGTTTTTGTGAAATATACAGTCTTTACAACTACCCGACTCTGCTGCTGTCGTGTAAATGCAGCCAGAGACAATAAATAAATGAATGGGTGTAGAAATAATATTTTTCTTTTGATTTTTTCTAACTTTTTAAGTGTGTAGAAGCAATTCTTAGTTTACATGCCATACAAAAATAGGGCAGTAGACCAAATTTGGCTGTTGGAGCTTGACAAGATCTGCTGAAAATTGATAATGTTATGAGTGACAGTTATAAAGGTAAAAATTAATTCATACACCAGCCTAACAGATGTTCAACACATCATTTAAAAGAATACAGGAAAATCTTAAAATTTGAATGGCAATCAACTTCTTATTTGTACTTGGATAAGAATATTTATGATTTATTGAACTTTAAGTTTGTTTGTTTTTTTAAAAAAACTATTTCATGAAAATTTCTGTATGCTTTTGGCATTTAAACATATAGTATAAATTAACAGTTATGTCTTATAACTGCATCTAGTATATATGCACTGATCCGACTGAACATATTTCTTTTAGGTTCTCGTTGCTACTTCATTAACAGGTTTATTGGAAAAACTGCAGAACTGCAATGATCTTTTGGACAAAATTATGAAAGGGCTTAATGCATACCTTGAAAAGAAACGTCTTTTCTTCCCTCGGTATGGTGGATGATCAGTTATCCTAAAATTATAAGCAGTTTCTGTTGTATGATGAATTATAACTAAAACTTTTGTGTTTGCATGTTTCCCCCTAGTTTTTTCTTCTTATCTAATGATGAAATGCTAGAGATTTTGTCAGAGACCAAAGATCCACTTAGAGTTCAGCCTCATTTAAAAAAGTGCTTTGAGGGCATCGCCAAATTGGAGTTCCTTCCCAATTTGGACATTAAGGCCATGTATAGCTCTGAAGGTGAGCGAGTAGAGCTGATTGCACTGATTTCCACGTCTGCGGCACGGGGTGCTGTGGAGAAGTGGCTCATTCAAGTGGAAGACCTCATGCTCCGAAGTATTCATGAAGTGATCGCTGCAGCCAGGCTGGTGTGTTTCCTAGGATTTTATATACCCTATATTCTGCAAAAGCTTTCTTTTAGGAGATATTGAATGGATACCAATAACTTCCCCTTCTAAGTTCTTTTTTTTTTTTTTTTTTTGAC